AAATCCCATCTTGATAATTTTTTTCACTGTCAAAGTCTCCGGATATGATGTCATTAGGTGAATTGCAAATTAGTTTTCCTCTGTTTTTTATACCAAAAGTTCATCTAATGACATTGTATCCGGAAACTTTGACAGTGAAAAAGTTGACCAAGTTGAGGTTTTTTACTATAAAGATATATTACATGTCTTCTTCGAATGACCCAAATATTACACGAAACAAAAATCATATTTGGGGTTATTCGCATCATAGTCTTTCAAAACATGGTTTGGAAACTCCGCTAAAGTCTTTGTTCTATCTTTTTGTTCGCGTTTATGCAGTTTTGTGCACGGTACATGGTCAATGAACACACGGTATTTTAGTATAATGAGCGAATCATCCAATAGCAACGTTTCTGTCATTCAAACCATGCTATTTAAATATTAATAAACCTAAAACAAAGGATCTGCACGTTGTAAGGTACGGCTCAACATAAACACACAGCTCATTATAACCGCTTTGAAGTTTACTGACTTCCCAGACCATATCAGTAAACAATATTTGAAAAATACGCTGTCAATGTCATCTGACGACATTCGTCATTAACATCCGGCATAAACTGAAATCGGCCCGATTAATCGTTGTGTGTTTTAACAGTAAACCATAGAAATATTAAACCTATTATTATATCTATTCCTGTCGTGTATGAGTGACACCAACTGAATCCAATTATGCTAAAATACTACGTGATTTAAACGCAAGAATTGATATGTTTTTGAGGGAATGATCACGTCTGGGAAGGCTTCCGAACTGTAATTTCGGTTCTGTATCATATTACCTGCACTGAATAAAATCGATGCTTACGAATTGAAAGCTTTCCCCCATAAAAAGTAAACTTGATTGAAACACTGACATTCACATATTTGTGTTGGCAGAAAAATGGTTTGGTGAAAAATCTCGGTCTGGGTGAACTGTCCGACTATGAAAAACAAAAACTTGCGGAGGTAAGACTGAATCAGAAAAAGTGAAATGGCGTAGCCAAAGGCCAGCAGGTGGGGTATAGGCTTTGATCCTTCACGTAGCCTCCTGATCTGTTCTTGTGAAACTAGTTGAAATCTGGCCAGGAAAAGGGCTGGGGGGCGGTGCAATGTCTCAGAATAATGATAAAATATGCTTTTTCTGGGTAATAATTTTTGAGAACCCTTGAAAATATTTCCCCACAGAGAATGCTCGACCCGGGGGAGCATGTCCAACTCCCCCCCAGCGTTCATCGGCATTTGTGTACAGAACTTATATATGTTTATATATATAAGCGCCCTAGAATTTATGTCCCCCCCCCCCCAAAGTCAAGACCCTGGCACTGTCTTAACTTTTGTTATGAGTAACATATACGAGAATAACTACATAAAATATTTTTCAGAATATTAACCTAATTATTTCGTATCATAAATGACCAAGAACAAGGCGTGACATTTTTTATTGAAAACAACGTTTCGGAGTTCACTCCGTCATCACGACATCACAGTTAAAAGACTACAATATATTGTCTAAACAGCTTGCGTTCAAACAATATATTGTAGTCTTTTAACCTGATGATGGAGTAATCTCCGAAATGTCGTAGTTGCCTTGTTCTTGGTCATAAATGGACAGATTTAGATCGAGGACGCGGACGTCAAAGACAACGCGAAAATGGCGTGGCATATCCATACATATCTATTTCCACGTCGTCTTTGACGTCCTCGATTTAAATCTGTCTAATAGCTAACACAAAAAGTCTATATAAAATATGTTGTTTTTGTCTGTCCAGCTTATGCCAGAACTACAGAAGAATATCAAGAAAGGCGAAGATTTTGCAGCAAATAACTAAAGTACTTGAAAGAACGAACGATGTCGGTAAATCTCTCTCTCTATAAAGGATCACGATTCACAGTATGAAAACTATCGAAATATTGCGACAACTATACTAGCTGAGATTTATATTGTGATGATAGTCGATCGCGGGCTTATCTTTGTGATATTGTAATATTGAAAGGTTTATTATTTGGATAATGACTATGTCAATGTTCCAGTTTTTGCTTTTTCCGGCAGCTTTGGTTTTGTCCTCCGAACAACACGCGAGCAAAACACGCGCAAGGCTTTTTGGGAAAGGTACCGTTTCTTACAGTTTATCGTTTTTTCGGAAAGCTTTTTTCCCGATCCCATTTGGCAAGTTTTTTGTGCTTAGGCTTTTAAAAACTTTCTCAGTCCACAGCCGCTTACTTAACTGAAAAGATCACGAAAGCCCTGTGTGCGAGTCGAAAAGTTTTGCGAGCCTCAGCCAAGTTACAGAGAGATTGTTTTTAGCGCAATATAATCAAATTCGAAAATCGTTAGGGAAACTAAACTAACTTTTTATATATAATCTCAAACTGTCGTTGCCAAGTGTCGGTAGTGCCAATCAAATGAACAAGCTAAAACTAAACTAACTTTTTATATATAATCTCAAACTGTCGTTGCCAAGTGTCGGTAGTGCCAATCAAATGAACAAGCTAACTCCAGACGAAGGGTACTCTATAGCCCTATCAGTTGTAAACTACCCTTTCAGAGGTGCTGTAAAGACTGTCCCGATTCAGTGTTACTCCAGAAAGAAAGCTGAATACCTGGGGATAACCTTGATGAAACGAACAGACAGACAGACAGTACACCCCCGCCACACATCGGATTGCGTGTTGGCACTTGACCAAATCTTACAGCTGGTAATCATTCTGCCTCGTGTAGCTCAGACCTCGAGCACGGAAAACAAAAATATACGTGCCACTAGTTATATTTAGAACCTAACCTTTTATACGGGTAACAAAAAAACATCGTGTAATTTCGAACGGCTACGTGATCAGATATTTTTAGGGACAAAACGGTATCCAGCGTTGAACTCAATTAAGCGATCATTCAAGTGAAGCGGTTGCCGGTAGCAACGCTTTGGCTGCATGTAACACGCAAAGCGGTCGGTCCCCACAACATGGAAGTTTGCCAAAAGTTTTGAGCAAATTTATCAGTGCGAACAGCTGTTGGGAAAATACGAGCCAAATATTATGTCTCCGATATCTGGCATAGAAGGCGAACGTTTTCATGCAATTTCAAAGTGTTTTTGATCTATAATTCTCTACCTACGCGGAAGTAACCGTAAACTTCCTATTTTGTATTGCTACTCACGGATTTACGTGTTCATTTCGTCAGTGACACGCAATTTGTCTGTCTGACACGAAAAGAAGTCTCGTATTCGTGTCAAGTCATTGTTATGCACTTCTAACGGAATTGGTAAAGACGTGTGTTTTTCACGCAAACATGTTATCATATCGGTATCTTTGTGACGCAATTACAGCATAAAAGTCTAGGTTTTTCTATGTCTATTTGATTCAATATATATTTCGCATCTTTTGCGTGAATTATTTGTCTGTTTTAGAGAACAGTTAGATATTTTTATAATACCATAAAATAATAAAATAGTAAAAATTGCGTTTAATAATAGTAGATTTGGAAATAAAAGTCGCAGACTAGTCTAGAATCTTCTGTGTACTAAATTTAAAATCGAGCAAGCAAGCGATCGGTCGCGATTTTGCAATTCCAAAGTTCCAGACCGACAGCGCACATTTTTGCATTTTCCTAATGCGTTCCATCTGTTCCAAAACTTCACAGACTGACAGAAAAGTGAAATTCTCGAGACAAGGAGTGCGAAAATGAAATTATGCGAAGCATGTGAAGAATTCGAATCGGTATTTGCAACATTTTGTGGCGGTGTGGACCAATCGCGTGGCCAGAAAGCACTCCCAGAATGCAGCGCGCAGCGTTGTCTCTATCATGTGGCAAAAAGTGTCCAAAGGTTACCAAACAACTTGGCGTTCCATGGAGAAAGATCTTTTGTAAGCTTCTCGTGTTCAGCTGGTGGATCTAGTCGCTTTAGGCAATTCGATCATGGCCTGGAGTCAGTAGGGACGTAGAGGAGAATGTGTACGCGTTTAAAATATACAGAGCGCGTTTAGAAACGTTATGGCTGTGTGCAAAAGCCGTGTATATTCTGCCACAGACGTGGCTAATTCTAGCCTTCCTATGTTTCCAAGCGACTTTCATACGAACCGACATGCTTGTCCATCGGCTCAGAACACATCACCCGACAGACCGATTGGATATGGCGCTTTTGGAGTTGTTTGGTAAGCATTTCGCTTTATATTTTATCTCCGATCCCTTTAAACAAAGCGTTGAAACGTTTTCAAAACACAGCCAACGCTAATATGTTCCTATGCTCGTATAGGTCTGTCACCGATCCGCGAACCGGCAAACGAGTAGCTTTGAAGAAAATGCCCAATATTTTCAAGAATATAACATCGGCGAAGAGAGCATATCGTGAACTGAAGATGCTGTGTTGTTTTGAGCACGACAATGTAAGTTTTTGCCTGATTTTGTTGTGAATTTCTTGGTCTGCGGGAGTGGCTTAAATGGAACGCTATGTGGATTGAATTTATTATGCGAATATATGCAACAAGTGTTTGGATGTTATGTTTTTAGGTTTTGTCCATTCAAGACATCGTTCACCCTGGACCTATAGACCATTTTCAAGAAATGTATCCTTGAATAAAAAGCTTTTAAAGAACCGTCCTTTAATAGCCAAACATACAGCATGCGATTGCCTTTTAATAAATCTTTTAAATTGTCAAAATCGCGGACCAGAAAATGATAATGAATATATGCTATCAAATTTCGCATATTTATATTCTTGACAACTATTACATGCAATGTTATGCCTTCAAATCTTTACAAAAAAATTTCGATGCGTGATTTTGGCTAAATGAAAGGCCAAAGGCATCTTTGTTTATATAATAAAGTTCCGCCACTGGAAGGCTTGAATAATTATTTCGATTACAACAAGAATATTTCGTGCATACGAGTATGGCGTATTGAAAGACATCCGTTCTCAAATTGGTCCATTTTATCCGGAAATGTTCTCCCCAAAAGGTCGATTTCGCAAACAGATTGCCAAAAGGCGCAGGGGGTTGTTCTAATATTAAAACATAAAGCTTACATTATTAAGACTGTCTAATATAAATGCGTGATAGCTTTGTGACACGTTTGCCCTGAGGAAAAGTCGGTCTGTGGTGTTAAACCAGCTTGGCAAAATGCCTAATAGAAATAGACTGCTAGTCTGTATTCAAGTGTATTTTATCCTTTAATAATGTGTTTAACTTAAACACATGCAGCCAGTCGCCTTAAATCTGCCACAACTGCTTTGAAGTGCCGTGTTTTGTGGTATATTCAAGCCCCCTTCACCCATAAAATGTTCGAATGAATGAACAATAAAATTCGCCAGCCGGCTCATGTGTTCAGGTCAGGTACAAGGTCATATCAGTTTGATACGATATTGGACCTAGATCATTGTGTTGCAATATTTCAATGCATATTTTGCCGTGCAGTGGAATGTGGCGGAATGCATGGTTAACCAATTTCCCACCAACTAGCATGCATTTCACCAAACTCATTTTGCTAAACCATGTTTTGTGTTTGCTGTAACATATGTTGAATATATTTTATGCACACTTGAGATATAACCATAGATTGTGATGCACCAACGAACAATGTTGCATAACATACTTACTGTTGGTTGAAATAAGCGTTGGAGAGAAGCTGTAATAATTGCAGATTGATGCTGCACGATGGTGTTTAATTAAGGAGACATGGTCAGTACACCCTTAGCTTGTCGTAAGGCATAGAATATCACATTTACTTGTGTGGGAAACCGACCGAATATTGCCCTCCTTTCCTGTGTATTTGAATTGCTGGGAATGATCTGAAATGCATCCTTCCTTGATTCATGTGAAAGATATATTGTCACAGAACTAATGCAATCTGATTTACATAAAATCATTGTATCTCCACAACCATTAAGCATGGATCACGTCAAAGTTTTTCTTTATCAAATTCTAAGAGGTGAGATGCAGTACGTTTTTAGCTGAAGTTTCTTTGAATGTAAAACTCCTAGGAGATGACATTTAAAATAGGAAAATGCCAAATGAAATTGAACAGATTTTGGGGAATGGCTTGCTTGAACGATTCTTTAGTCTTATTTTGATCCAGGGTATAACTAATTATTAATTTTATTGTGTTCTTTCAGGTTTAAAATATTTACATTCTTCTGGAATATTACATAGAGATATTAAACCGGGAAATTTATTAGTCAATAGTAACTGTCTGTTGAAGGTACGTCCAGTACATTTGCATTGTTTTGTCGTGTAGGGACGACTCCTTTGCTGCCGTCTTATACTGCGATTTGATTGCATTGCTCAGGGCAATGGCTTCATGTTCTATTACTTTCTATAGATATGTGATTTTGGTCTGGCAAGACTAGAAGAACCAGATGAAAGTATCATGATGACACAAGAGGTATAATTCTTTCTTAGGATTAAAATAGAGGCTGTCTTGAGTGAGGACATACTCTTACCCTTGGGATGGTGGCTGGGTGAAATTTCTGGATTGATTTAATTACCAGTACCCATTAACCTATTGTGCACCAGTATTCTCCCCCCTAGTGAAATCATCTGGTGTGACATCAGACAGAGTAAAATAATAAAGTAAGGCCCATTAGGGCGCAACATGACATCCATGGGCAGATAGTCTAGTACATGGCAGACACCAGATGGAGGTGGCCTTATAAACATGAATTTGTTGCTTTCTTCACAGGTAGTAACTCAATATTATCGTGCCCCAGAACTGCTTGCTGGTGCCAACCATTATTCTTCTGCAGGTATAAATACATTCATACATAACCATTATTGTGAATTAATAACAATAAACAAGCACAGAGAAGTTGAAGTATAATATTGCTAATATCTATAAGTAGTGATTAACTGATTGTGCCGTTATTCATTGATTTTTTATAATGGTGTCATAACGTCAGTCAACCAAGTAGAGGTGGCATCATTCATTTCAATATTTCAACGTTAATTCCCAACGTAACATGTTAAAATTGTTACTGCAACCAAAGTTTTTAAAACCGTTCGTAAATACAATCTTGCAAATGTCACAATGTGTGTCAACATGCAATGTACCGGTATATTAATTTTTAAAGTGTGTGTTTTTTCAACAATCATTTTTACACAATCGAAAATAAGATAATTCTACCAATTCTGATTATCTACCGATAAGGCGAAAATCTGCCCGACATGCACTATTGATTTACAAGAAATACCGTGAGAAACACTTGAATACTTTAAGGCATGACAATTGAATTAACATAAATATACTCATTGTTTATTAAATGAATGTGATTTTCACAATTTCATGTAATTCTTATTTTTCAGTTGATATTTGGTCAGTTGGTTGTATTTTTGCTGAACTCATGAGTAGAAAGATTCTTTTTCAATCTGGAAGTCCAGTGCAACAGTTGAATAGAATAGTGGATTTGCTAGGCACGCCAAGCCTTCAAGACTTCAGCGACGCTAAAGCGAGCAAGGGAGCTGTCTCTTATCTTCTATCAAAACCAAATAAACCTGTAAGCATATCTTGCATTTTGTCTCGTGTTCACCCATTCAACTGTCCCCTATTTGTTTGTTGTACTTTGGCGCCTTAATATCAAATATTACACTTTGTATGCGCACTCAAGTTTTGTGCTAAGCGGCACCAGTTCAAGCAGTCACGCTTGTTTCTGAAATTTGGATCTTTGTTTTATTTTTCAGCACAATCTAGCCTCGTTATACAATCTTTCACACCTGGCCACACATGAATCTGTCCATCTACTTTGTCGAATGCTTGTCTTTAATCCAGTGAGTATATATTTTTCTTAAATTGGTCGGTTTCAGTGAATAATGTTAGCTCATTTTCAACTAACTTTATTTCAGACTAAAAGAATCAGTTGCAGCGACGCTCTCTCGCACCCTTATCTTGACGAAGGCAGACTAAGATATCATTCCTGCATGTGTAACTGTTGTTTCAATACCGTCTCTGGGAGACACTATGCACCTGGTAAGTGTTATGACTTGTAAGGCGAGACTTTTTTATTCATTGGTTTACAGATTTGCCGACTGTAAATATTCAGAAACTGAAAAATAAAAAAAATTGGATGTCAACAATTTTACAATTTTAGTTAATTTGGGGTTCTGACATGAAAGTACACGCCAACTCGCGCCAAGTAAACTTTGACTCTAAGTACTGCTGGCTCATGTTATCGTTGTGACAATATGGAGATTAGCCATGTTGTGTTTTTGAAGTCAACGTTAAAAAAATTAATAGAGATTATTAAATTTGGTTCTCATTTCTACTCTGTATGTTTTTTTCTGACTTACCAACCTGGTTTTTTTTTTAAAGTCAAATCCGTAAACCAATAAATAGAAAAAGTCTCGCCTTAGGGGGCTTGGCAAAATTTCAAACTGGAATTTTAAGTTTTGTCAGACAAACTTAAGGAGAGAATTGAACCCACACTCTCAGGTGAAAGGCGCTTGTTCTGATGTAGTACTAATACCAACAAAGCCTGTCGCAAAGATAAGAATACAGTATTCTCACACTGGGTTGCCGTGTAGTCTGCCACCGCAAAAGTAGCAGTGCCTTTATTAACAATTGGGGAAAAAAAAATATGTGGGTTTCCGGTTTCCTCTTGTAAAAACTTAGGTAGGGTAGGTCGGTTTTAACTTTTTTTTTTAATTTTCCTAACAACTGGACGCCATTTTGTTTAGTCAGTGCTTCCACATCCAAACATAAATTTCCCTAATATTGCCTCAAATTTTCATTTTCCACAAACGTTTTGCTATAAGTGGAAACACTTACAAGCGTGATCCAATAAAAAAGTTTAGGTTCGGGATTTCGACGTCCAAAAGCTAGGTAGGGTCGGGAAACCGGAAACCCACATATTTTTTTATTTGGCCTTGTTTACATACACAAAATTAACATATTAGACCCAATATTAATAACCCTAAACAATGTCTCGAACCACAAGGGTGGGCGGGTGGGAACTACCACACTTGTGGCAAAAGACAAAACATGCTCTATCTTGAGGCACATGCCCATATAAGGGCATAGCACCTCGCCTGGGGCCCGCCAGTGTGAGAACCCGTTTCTCGCTTCTTTCATACTTCAGCCAGCGAGAAACTATAAATACCTTGGATAAACAATGCATCAACAGATGATAAACTGTATTATTTTTGTTTTATAGAAATGGAGCCAAGTGCCTGTCAACCATTTGATGATAGTTATGAAAATGGTCTTTATACTGTCCATCAAGTTCGAGGTTTGTTTTTGTTGTAAAATGTCTTATTGGTACACAAGTGATATTTGCCTATTAGATAGGTACTAATTGTAGTCATGTAAGTAATGCTGTTGTGTTTTCTATTCCAGAAAAAATCTATCAATTTATGACTGAGAGACAGAAACATCACGTCCCACTTTGTATTAACATGGCCTCGCCTGCATTTAAAAGCTTTAAAAGGTATTTGTAATATCTTATACTATCTTTAAAAGCTATCTTATACTGTACATTTCTATTTCTGCATTAAACTCTAGTTGGCTGTTTGCATAACAGACACAGCAATAATGCCATCCAGTCATGATCCTATGATTGAAATGTTCTATTGTCTTTCATTGTTTTGAAAATCTTGCCATTCTCCATGTCATCCAGTCATGATCCAGTGATCTGAATGTTCCATTGTCTTTTCATTGTTTTGAAAATCCCACTGTTCTCCATGTCATCCAGTCATGATCCAGTGTTTGGAGTATTCCTTTCTCTTTTCATTGTTTTGAAAAGACAATGGAACTTGTTCTGACTTACATATTACTGTTTATGCAAGCTAGTGTTTTCTTTGCAAGCATGGTTTAAAATCTGTTTATTTTCTGCATTTAGGTCAACTGTAGCTTCGCAACCCGAGGCACCGGACTCTCCTCAGTTATGGTAGAACAATCAAAAACCTCTTTCACCCCCCTCCCCAATGGTTAATTCAGCACTGTGAAGATTTCTGCACCAAAGGCAACTGGCCATGCCATCTCACGACTTGAAGCAAATTGGCATGAACTGGACTATTGATGATCAGTAGGTTTGAGCTTTTCCTTCTACAAGCCTTGGTAAGGCTCTTCAATGAGGCTCTGAGAAGTTGTAATAGACCTGGAGAAGTATTTCTTGGACCCTGAAGTGTTCCTCAAATGTGCGTAAAAAATATTGGAGGATTTAGAATAGGACTAGCAATAATCCGGCCCCTATGCATAACCCTGAGAATGACAATACTGCCTTCCAGTCACGATCGAGTGATTGGAATGTTCTATTGTCTTTTCATTGTTTTGAAAATGGAAAGTTCACCATCCAAGTCACTCGTTGCTTTGACCAATTTTAGCATTTATTGATTTATACAAATAACGGCCTATTCCTTAAGATTCTCTCATAAAAGTCATAAAATATGCATGAACGATTAAAACGTTCCCTGGTCTTGTATATACTGTAGATAAGGCTCGTCAGAATCTCGAGATTCCACGTTCAATCTCGGGGATTTATTTCGATGCAACAACTCGCCAGAACCTTTATCCATCGTGACTCAAAGCTCCCTGTGGATAGTGTCATTCTTTTTATACTCAATCGTATTTTGAACGCGAACTCACTTTCAAACCATATTCCATCTGCGCTTTTCACTAAATTTTAAAACTAAACCTTTGCGGTGTAATAGTAGTATAGGTTTCACTAAGTACTATCGTGCAGCAGATTGTGGTCAACCTACAGTTATCAGAGTGAGAAAATAATGTTGGCTTTTGTGATTATATGTAGTTGAAAATAGTCGACTTCTACTAGGAGGCGTGAATGAAATTAGGGAGATGTACAGGGTGTGGTAAGTTCACGAGTTTTAGTCCTACCTCACTGGTATGCCAATGATTATTGCCGGGTAGTACAAACTCGATACTCGATGTGTGCCTAGTTTTAAAGTAAAGTACAGCTTTCTGAAAGGTATTCAAACCATATGATGCATGATTTAGGGTGTATTATCAAGTATATACTCGGGTAACAGTGTTACAAGTGTTACACTATCTTTATTTAGGGAGTAGGATTAGGGGTAGGATTATGGTTTGTGTGTGTGTAAAACTATGTAACACGGTGGGGTTAGGGGTAGGGTTAGTGTGTGTAACACTATGTAACACTGTCAACACTCTGTAGCACTGTGTAACACTATGTAACAATGTGTAACACTATCTAAGAATATGTAACATTGTTTAACACTGTGTAACACTTGTAACAGTGTTACAACCGAGTGCCATAATAAAAGCACCCTAAATCGAGCATGGTATAATTCAAACTACGAGTTAGAAAAAGAAGCACAATAATTGCACATACAAACACTACATCGACTCCAATATTTCCACTCTGGAACATTTTCCACAGAAAGAAAATTTTGTAAAATATGATTGGCCGACACAAATTTTTCGTCGGAAAAAAATTTGAAGTTGAAAATTTTCAACAATGATATTTTTGGAAAATTTGCTGTCCGTGGAAATTTTTCTTGAGTGGAAATGGTCTTTGATCCCATCAGTTCAATCCTGTTTCATGCCAAGACATTTCGGACACGTATACCAAGTAAATTACGCTTTTGAATACCTTGAAATGGTCGTGTGGTACCAGCAAAAAAGTTGGTAATTGGCTAAAGACAAAGAAGTATCAGACAGTAATATTGGCATACCTACGGTACGATAATACCAGAACTATCGCGCCCTGAATTGTAGTTTAATTATGTCGCTACTATGAGTACCAAAAGTTTTGAAATTGACCACCGTTTGGTGCCTGGTATCACTTGCTGAAACCTAACCATATAGGCTCACTGCTTGTACATAATGTGATTATTAATTTAATAATTTGTATTTTTCAAACGAAAGTTTATGGAGATATGTAGCCGGTTAGCTGTAATTTCCTGGTCTATTTATTTATTTATTTTTGACTATGGATTATCGCTTGAAACCAGGAAATAATGGATCTTCCTTTAACTTAAATATTGTTTTAAATAAAGAGATTATTGTAAAATATTGAAACAGGTTGTTGTTTATTTTAAAATTTGTGATCACAGTAGGAATTTTGCCTAGGTAAATTCTAAGTTTTGAAAGATTTGTAAGAAATGTACGGGGAAACTGACTCAATGTTTGACACTCAATCAGTTCGCTCGAACATTTCTTACAAATCCTTCAAAAATGATCACAGAAACTTTGACACGGTAAACCACTAAAACCAGCCTTCCCCATCTACAATAAATTTACGTATGGTATATTTACAATAATTGCAAAGATTTTGGGCTAGAGACCTACTAAAAATCTGTGTAGACCTTTTATTTAGGCCTATATGGACTATGGGTTCCCTAAGGTACCCTAGCTGGTCCTTGGTGTCAATCGCGTCTCATTTGCGGATTTTGCGCGCCCCAGATTTCTGTCTTGAGCCACGTGGAATACTTGCGCACAACACCAGACGACACATGTGGTGCTCTTTAACAGTTGCATGTGTTCAAGGCGTGCGGATCTGAATTGCGAGCAACGGATATCCGTGTTTGTGGTTTCGTACCAGGCACGGAAATTCCTGGAATAGGTTTTGCAATGGATCAATATATAAACTGTTTGCTTAACACTTGAAACGGTAGTGCTATGCAGCTGTGATGGTTCTATTGTCCTGAAACCAGGCGCACTGCTCTCCATGCCATCCATTATTTTAACTTATTCTGGCACTTACGCAAAGACCATCCCATCCGTGTTAACAATCTCAATTTAACCCCATACTGCGGCCTACTTTATTATGTTACTTAGTCTGATTACCCAAGGCATTAAGACATCTGCGTATGTGCCTAGATCTGTCTAATGCCAGACGATTTTTCGTGTCAAGAGAAGAGCGTTCAATGTGTTAAAAACAGCGATTTTGTACTCTTAAAATATTTCCAATATATAAATCGGGTTACAATTCTAAACCCTACCCAAGACTAGTCCTAACAATAAATATTGACAATTTGACATAATCCGTACCCCAATACCAGTCCTAATAACCGTGATCTAATCGATATGCTTTAATCCTTATTCTAACACTGATCTAACTCTAATCCCAACTTAATCCAAACCTTAAACGTAACCCTTTATCCAAGCACTAATCCTGATCGAGCATTCCGCAACAAACGGACAAACAGACAAAACTTTGTCACAAACCACCGATCAGCCATCCGAGCTGCAAACCGGAATTAACCTGGGTACTAGTAAGATTGCGCATGCGTTATATATTGTTCAAAAATTAAAGACCTTCGCTCGCAGAAAATGGCTTCCCGGGCTAAAATTGACAAGACGAACAACTGACTTTAAACTCAAAATACTCGACAAATCTCAACAGAACGTCAACAACAGACATAAAATATAAACGCCTACATCTTTCCAGTTTGTGTATATACAAAAATATCGATATTTCCTTGGAAAACTCTTGAATTATGAGCGTTGTATTGGAGCCCCATCATCTGGAGGCAGTCGCAAATTTACAAACTACAATTACAGGTTAGAATTTTATTCTCTGCATTGTTTTATTTCTTCTTGTAGATTTTTACAGGATTTATCTGTTTCCCTTTGCTTCTGATTTTAAGCTAATACAGTTTTGTGTTTGACTAATAGTGTTTGATTCATTCGAGGTTATATTTTTTGCTTAGTTGCAGTTGTTGACAGATGAAAAATCTAGTTTATAAATGTTTTTGTACTGTTTTCTAGACTTAGAGACGGCGAAAGCGAATGAAAATGAAGAAGAACAAGCGAAACAAAGCGATGATATTGTGCCAACCGCTTCTCCACGTGGCAAAGCACTGAGCTACACAAAAGTACGAACAAATTTTGCATAATATTGACTATCTCTTCATTTTTATTGCGCTCCATTGTTTTAATTGAGTATTTGTTTGTCTAGGACGAAGTTATGACGATTAAAGATTCTAGGTTGAGCAATATCCATCCTGCAGCCCTGTCTGATAAATACTGTAATAGGTAAATAAAATCTCAGACAAGATCTTGTCTTTTTGAGATGTCTTGACAGAACTGATTGACCCCAACTCCCCAAGACACACTTTTACTTATTTTGATGGTAACAACAGCTGTGTGAGCCATTATTTTCTTATTGACCCGAGGCAACCGTCTGGTGACCCTTAGGTGCATTGCAAACAAAGTTTTTTTATGTGAATTTTCAAAACATTGGGGATCAAATGTATTTTGTTTTGCAATTGCTAACTTGTGTCACAATTGCAGGTAGCCAAGAATTTGTGATTACAAAAAAAACAGCAGGGGAGGTCACTATTCACTTAGATTAAAAGAAAGGCGAGATTAAACCAGTCATGGAACAAATCTTCAATCACAAAACAAAACCTGCTTGTTGGCAGGCCCTTACTTTGTAATGGGCATTGAACTATAAATAAACTGGAAGGCTAACTGCTATGATGAAGGCCTATGATTTGATGAAGCCAAAATAGTTTTTCTGAGTTATGAGCAGAAATACTTGACCCCAAACGTCGGGCAATATATCAAATTGAAGCTATTGAAAATTGCTATTCGGTGTGGAAATTTCAAGACTTCAGCGAAAAGAAAAATATTAAAAAAATATAAAAACAACTGCAAAACGGCAAATTATCGGTAATTATGTTTGTAGTTTTTCAATATTTCCCTTTTAGCTAAAGTCTTGAAATTTCTACATCAAATAGCGTTTTTCAATAGCTTCAATTTGATATATAGCCCAACGTTCAGTGTTGAGTATTTCTGCTCATAACTCAGAAAAACTAAAATGCACTGGCTTCAATTTCCCCCCCTGAGTTAGCCTTCCAGTTTATTTATAGTTCAATGGTAATGGGTCATTCCAGAAAACATCCATACCACCCCCCACAGAGGAAATTGGAAGTTGACCCCCCTACCCCCTTGGAGGTCCTAATACACTTACTATTATCAGAAACAAAATTTTCCTCCCCTCCCACTCCGGACAGCAGAAATTTCCTCCTTGGGGCAGGGTGGATCTTTTCTGGAATGACCCAATAAAACTTCCAAGTACAGTATAAATCAGAACAGAATCTATTATAAACAAATGCTAAACATGTTGTTTTCACTTGGCAAAGTATAATCTATACAAAATTCTGAACCCAACATGTTCCCTTCGACAAGTATTATTAAAGATCATCCAGCGGACAGTCTACTTGACTCTACACATCACCCTTGTATTCTACATTGTCTGTCAATGGGTCATTCCAGAAAGCATCCATACCTCTCCCATGGAGGAAATTTAAAGTTAACCACCACTCCCCCCCCCCCCCCCCC